TGGAGAAAGCATATTGTCTATTAGGTATGTTTTTGTATAGGTCAGTTTAGAAAGAGAGTTTGGACAGTACTCAAACATTTTAAAATTTCATCAACAAAACCTGTTTTTCCTTCTGGAAGATGTTTCAAAAAGGAGACCACAGCTATTTTACACAGTACCAGGCTGCAAAGTCTCATTTCCATGAGTGATGCAGAAAAGCATACCCTCAGCACAAGCTATTCAGCCATGATGCAGACACCACTTAAAACTTTTTAAATGATAGTTGTGTTTAACAGCTGGAGAAATGGGATCAGACTGTCCAATTACTCCTGTGACTTTTTTCTTAAATAAAATTGTATTGTGCTCAATATATGATATCTGTAAAAATAGGTTTATTTTCCTTCGGTATGCCCCACTTTATAGAGCATGACTGCCAAGCAGAACAAGGAAAGAGCTGTGCCGAAAGACTGAGGTTTGAAAGAAACAGACATGTGCCAAATGACTTTTTACACATGGCAGAGCAGGAAGGCTGTGGTCTTGCCTGTAGAGGTCACTGCCCTGGTCCTGTCAGGAAGTGATTGTCAGGGAACAGGTAAAACTTTCTCTTAGTCCCAGTCAGGACTCTGAAGTTTCAGAGACCATTTTAGTCCTGCTATCCTTGCTACAGCTTAATTCCCACTCCTAAAGCTTCTCCATAAAGCAGCGGTGCTGCCTGGTGTAAGAGGCTGAGATGCTGACAGCTGAAGCTGTTGAGTTGCTTCTATCAGTCTAACCTAGAAAACCTGTGTGCAGCACAGGCCCCTACTGTCTTCAACCAGCTCTCCTTCCATCTTCTGTGCTGCCTCCTGTCTTTGGGAATCACTCCTCCCTAGACCTCTGGTCCAAAACTGATGGACATGATGAAATGTGACTGTTGCTGACTGGGCAAAAACTGTCCTTTTTTGCTGCTGCAACAAACATTTCTTGTGGCACATCTCCCTACCCACCACATTAGAGCTGGGCCTTGCAGGTGGTGCTTTGGCTGCACCACTGTCTACTCTGCCTGGAACCAAGACTAGGGTCACAGAAGAAGGGTTCCTTGGGTATGCCTCTGCTCGTGCTCAGGTGAGGTCTGCATCCAGGACCACCACATTACCCTCACCTAACAAGAACTCTGCTACTGATAGGACACATTATATGGATGACATCCTTGTCTATTCAGCTCTCCTGCTGTGGCACATCAAGGTTTCTGTGTTTTCATGAATTCTGATTCTCCAAAGAATCCTTTAATATCTCAGAGAAGCAACATGAAGTTTTCAGGTTGCTATGAACACATCCTCTGTGCATAAGGATAGCAGCTAAAGACCAAGAATTGCAGTGAACTTACTATACCAGGACATGCTCCTTCCCTTTGGAGAAGTGTACATTATCTCTGTTTCATAGAGCTTGATCTGCTGATGGAGCATTTTAGTCCCCATATTCAATAAGCAGACAGTAATCTTTTCCTGTTAAGAGCTGAGAGTGCAGCACAGAGAAGGCAAAATGGGAGCCCACACCACTTGAAAATCAGAACAAATTCAATTAACCATCACGTACAGTTTAAGGCTCATCATTAATAAATCAAACACATGAAATAACTGCATCACCCAACACTATCTGTAAGTGTTGTGGTCTGTTCTGGAGCCAATTTACATTAATTAGATTTGCCTACAGTTGCTTCCCTCAGCTGCTAGGTAGGAATTCATCTACATTTGGAGACATCAGAAGGAACTATAGAAATAGTAACACCTGGGTAATGCAGAACTGGGGAAATGTTACACTAAGGTGGAATCTACATTTAAGGGCATGGGACTTGGAGGAGCCAGAATATAGCCAGAATACACTGCCCTTTTCTGAGTTGATTTTTTTTAAGATATCAACATCTGAGCAGGCAGCCTTATCATCTCAGCTGCTGTTAGTCTTTTTAAGTCAAGAACAAGCTGTAAACTTTTGAGGACCTCTTTCTTTTAAACCAGTTCTCTACATGCTTCACAGGAAACAGTGATTAGAGTAACACATACTTGTGTAATGAGACCTCTGAACAGACCACTGTATGGTGCTGCCTGCTGGGGTTAGGCTTTGCTAGACCAGGTACTTTTTACTGTCATCACTACTTGCTTCTTCTACTGATTTTTTTTCTCCTTTTTATCAGAGACTTCCAGTAATTTGCTCAGTTTGGTTTTCCTCACAACCTTCTGAGCTGCTTGTCATATTTGAGGTAATTTGACTGTGGTGGGAAGAGAACCTATAATTTGAAGTTCTGGGCTTCTCCTTCAGGCATAAAACCCCCATTCAGACTCTGGATGCTTTGGCCCATTCTCAATATAAAATCAAATAGTATCTTCAGGATTAGCTGTTTTTTCTAGACTATCACACTGCAGGTAGCATAAAAATATGGACTGGCTAAAGAACAGCCAGGTAACACCCCAAAATTATCCACTTACATTACAGCATCTTTCTTCATTACTTTTTACCTGAAGGAGTATTAGCCAAGCAAATTGTGTGCAACACAAGATGTGAGTGGGTGTGAGTGAGTCTGTTGGCTTGCGAGGTGTGTTGGTACCCAGGTATGTGTCATGGGAGAGGTGAACATACCATAGAGTATGTGCACTCCATGTATGGACAAGGCCAGCGAAGTCCTGGTGCAGTAGCATAACAAACCAAGCAAAATTACAGTGATACAAAAAGCCAAGTCATTTGGTGAACTTCATGCCACATCATTTCCATATTCATGTGCTCATGCAGTGCTCCTGGCATTTGCTGACTGGAACCTCCCTTCCCTCTGTCTCACTCCCTCACACATTCTATGCTGTCTGGATCTCTCTGCTGAAATCCAGTGATTGCTTTGTTCCAGTTTGTCTGAATGGCTTTACTCTTTACCCAAGCCTGTCTCAGGCACCTCTTTCTTTCTGCCCCTCTACTCCTCTTCTAACTAATCTGCAATAATATGCCTGTCAGAACTGGTTTTCTGCCCTTATCTTTGCAGCTCTGTCTGCAGACAACCCTACTAGCCTTAATGTGATGCAGCTGTTCACTCTCTCATCCTTTCCAAAAAGAGCCTGGAAATATCCTACAGGAAGGATGCTACCATAAATCTGTGTATACAATTTATCTTATAGATGGAAAGGAGTAATAAGAGATGAAAAAAATCTTTAAATAAATTCCTCCCAAGCTCCATGAAACTTCTGAGTGGTAGGCTGAACTTCTGTCTTCATGAAGAAAATCAATAGCAGTGTTGTACTGCTCCTGCTCTCTGGCTTCTGCCCCGCCCTTCCCCCTGCACAGTGCACAGACAGCGTTCAAGGAAATGGGTGATCCCAGGGGAGCAAAATAGCTTTTTGCACTTAATGTAATGATGTCACTTGAGGTCACCATGCAAACAGTTATGGATATGAAAATCTGCAGTTCTGTCAACAGAGCTGGAACTGGGGGTCCTAGCTTAAGAGTTAGAGCCTTTTTATAAAATCTTTCCTTAATTTACCTACAGACCATCTTCCCAGAAACAACAGCTGCTGTACCTAATTAGCATTAATCACCTCGTTACAGAAGAGCAACTGGGAATAGTATAGTACTTGAAATACTGACAAAATGATACACTAATGGCTTTGATCTGTCCAGTCTACTTCAACTTCCCCTTTATTATTCTGTTTTCTGTATGAAAAGCTTCAGAAGTCACAAGTTTTGGAGCAGACTGGGAAGTGATGATGCAGAAAAGGATACACAGATGGGGGCAGATACAGAGCCTTTCAGCCTACACAAGATGCTTGCTGCCAGCTGTTTGTGACTGCACTTCCCAGTTTGGCATCTTGACCTGAGGCAAGAGTAGTCCTGGAAGGGGATCTCTGAGCATGGCATCCTTTTGGGCAGCACCGGGATAGCTTGCTCTGCTGTGTGCTTTGTGGCTCTTCGATGGGGAGTTTTAAGCTCTGAACACATACCCCACTCCGGGGGAAGGAGTAAAACACCTACACCTATTGAAAGATCAATTTCAGAAGCCACCTGCCTGTGGGGCAGTCTGTTGTTTACTCGGATCAGAGACCTTCTGTAAAGTTTTGGCCAGAAATGCACCAACTTTTTTTAAGTTGAACCCTGAGGGTTTTGTAGTTCTGACTGTTCCTGGTACTATTCCTCCCTGATCACACAGCAATTCAGTATCTGACATTGCAGCAGGCTGGAAGGCAGGAGTTAACAACACAGTCATGTCATCAGCTGCTGTCCCCTGATGGATTATATCCTCTGTTCACTTCAATCTCCAAGATGGGACTCAGTCACAAATTAGTTTTGTCCAAGTCAGACACACTAGGAAACATCATTGTCTATGTCCTTGTGACAGTGTCTTTGCTGCTGTTTAACCCTACTAGATCTGCTTGGTCTAAGTGAACAGCATTCCAGTAACTTCCTTTAGGTGTGACTCAGTTTCTTTAACTTAGACATTCAGTTTTCACATACATTTATGAACCATTTGAGTAACCTTCCAAAAACAGTGCCTTATTGCCTATCTAATCCAAGGCGAAGAGGTGCTTATATCTAGAGGCCACAAGCATCTTGGAGGGCTGAAGGCTGCTGTGAGTGTTTCTGCCTCTCTCCCACACGGTCATCTGTAGACAGACATACAGGACCTTTACTGCCAGGCTCCCAGTGTGGTGGATGTGCTGATGAAGATGCATCTGCTACAACCCCTCATCCTACCTGTTGCCAGTTTTACAGCACTCCAACCTATTTCCACATTGCCGATTCTGTTTTAACACAAACTAATGTCATGACTGCTAGGAAAGAACAGACACAGACTGTCTAGGTAGGGATTTCAGACCAGAGAAGAGAAATTAAAAATGTAAAATAGAAAAGCAGATGGCATAAGCTTAATTAAAATAATATCTGATCTCCTGGGAATGCTAGGAGGATCTGTTGCCTTCCAGTGGATATGGTGCCCTGAGATTTACACTTGGGGATTATTCTGTTCCTCTCTCTCTCTCCTTATCATAACTCTCCTGTTTTTTCAAAAGGTTTGTGGTATGTGCTCCATCTGGATATGGCTCCTAATAAGGATGTGCTGGAGACATCCCTTAAGCACTAATGTACACCCAACCCCCAACCCTTGCTGTCAGGAGTCTCCTTATCAATGATCTGAAAGAAAGAAAGAAGCAAGACTGAGCATTACAGCACTGGAACAAAAGACAAAGTGGGAGTGCTATAAAAGTGACAAATACATAATTAATATGGATACAGTATCAATAAAGGTTGAAAATTGAAAAAAACCAAAACAACTGTGTTAACTCGGGGATCTTATTTGCCCTTGCTGTGAGGTTCTTTTCTTGATGTGGCCCTAGCATCAAGCACTGTTCCATTTATGAACCAGGTGCAACCTTTAGGAAGTCACTAGAAATGTAAGACACCTGTGAAGTTTTTTTTTTTTGTATCTGACTCCCCTCAAACAAACATGTAGCCAAATATATTTATTTAGAGGGGAAGAAACAACCAAGAAAAAGACCACTGGAGCACCAGGATAAATCTGTGTGCAGTATGTGCAGTTTTCACACTCTTTCTGTCACACTTCAATCACTGCAGCGTCTGGAAGCAAAAGCTGTATTCATGCTGGGTTGGTATTTAATTGAGCTCAATTGAACCAAGCTTCCAGCAAGCACACATGACAGATTTACACATGAATCTTCTCAAACCGAAAAATGACATTTATCAACCTTCCATCAGAACATCTGACATTTGAACAATTGATTCTGATTTAACATTAAAAAATGCCACCATCCATATGGAAAACTTGCAATAGGATCAAGCCCCTAGTTGCTACCATTCCCAACAATGTTTTTGCCAGGTAAGCTATTAAAAATTTATGTACCACCTTACCTTTTTCTGGCCTTAAAAAGATTAAAAATAACCTTGACAAGTTTAATGCAGAAGGGACAAAAAAAATCTAGTCAAAGGAATGGCAGCCAGAGCTGGGAGATGCAGTGATTAAGCTTCAAGAAAATCAAAGAGGCTGGGCAGATTTTCATAATAAGAGCAGCAGGAGCTGGAGTGGATTAAAGGCATGTTACATTGGCTACAGACAATACTGTCAGTCTCATTTTGCCTCAGATAACCTAGAGCTCATCTGGGTACGGCTAAGAGTAGAGTGCTGATCCAAGTGTCACTAGGTATGTGTTCACTTCATTTAAGAGGAACACTGTTTCCACAGAGATCTATCTCCAGAGCAGACTTCTCTCTGGAGACATGGCAGGAAGAAGCTTGTCAGCCTTGCAGGGCAATTCCTCTTCAGCAGGTAGGTTTCACCCACTATTATCTTCATAAGCATACTGTGGTCAGCACTGGGTTCACCTGGCAGAAGCACCAGCAGGAAAGGAGGTCCTGGCAACAGTGTGCCTCTACTACGAAAACTGGTCAAACACTTCCAGTACCTCTCTTTGACTGTTTATGCCATTCACCACTGGCTAAATGAAAGAGAATGTTTCCTGTGTGGAAAAGCAGAAGTTCTGGCAGAAAGGCTAATCATTCTCCTATATCTGATTCCCAGAAAAAAGCTGGTAAGTTCTGCAGAAGTGTGACTGTGGCCTGTTTTCATGTATTAGTCCATTTCAATAATAGCAATCTTACAATCAACTGATGTAGTCATCCTCAGTTGATAAATTTCAGCTTACAGAATAGTGAGTTTCTCCAATCTTATTTTTCTCATTTCTATTATTCCAGTTTTCATGGTTTTTTCCTCTATGCTATTTCTGAGTCTTTATTGTACTTGTTCCTTCCAAATATGCTCTATAAAATTTTCTTTTCTGACTCCTGCTTTTTACATAAAAGTCATTAACGAACACAAAATGATTGTTGGAGAACTCCATTAGTGATGTCCTTTCTTCTGATACTTTCTCCTTCAACACTATCTGATGAGTTTTGACTTCCCAAGTTTCTCATTCTACCAGCTTTATTCATAATAGTGAGATTGGCTAAGGATCTACCTCAAATTACTTTTCCATTTAATTTGTATGAATTTAACTTGTTTACCCTGAATCCAAATCAATTTTCAATGATCTGATCTCCTAGAACGGTCTCATAACATACCAAAGCCAAGTCTAAAAAAGTACCATTTCCTATTACATTAGTGAATCTCAAGAGTACATTTTTATTTCCTAGAAAGTAAAGAATATCACAGACTTACCAATAATAGCATCAATTGCTCTCTAACCTGTTTCCTGGTGTTAAATTATCCAAAACAACTACTGCAGTAGTAATTATCTGTCTAGTAATACTAAAGAATTCTCTTGGCAGTGAAAAAGGATCCTGGTGGCATATGGCATGCTGACAGTAATAATCTTTTACCAAACTATGAATTGTGCTGTCATTAACACACACTGCTGCTCCCTGCCTTTTCCTGAAAAGCAGCCACTGTTTCTGAGTATTCACGGCTTGCATAACCACCCTCAATCAGCAGCATCCTCTCAATGTCACTTGTTCTGATGTGAAGGACAGCCAGGGAACTCCTTCCTGCTCCAAATGGGAAATTTTCCACATTTAGATTACTATTTTTTAAGCAAAAAGCCCAGTGTTCCTTTGGTTTGTCTGTCATGAGGTTCTTGAAGCTGTGTGGCTAAATAGCTGCCCAGGTTTTGGAGGCACGATGGGCATGTGTGGATTGCTCTTGTAAGTGTTAGCCTTGAAAGGAAGCAGTGTCTTGTGGTAACAGGATGATTCTGCTTCCAGAATTAAAAAATATTGCTCAAAAATAGCATGAATATTTGTGTGGGAATCTTTACGGACTTAAAAGTCCTTCATCTCACAGTAATGCAGCTCTTTTTCTGGTAGTGTCTCAACTTCCTGATCCTTTCTCTTTTTGTTGCAACTATCCCGTCTTCCTTTTACAGTCCCTCTATATTATCTTCATTCTTTATCTGGCCAAGCTTTGATCTCAGCTTAATAAAAAACCTGTAGGCTTAAAAGAACTATGCCTTGCTTTTAAGGCACTGCTTTCTTTCTTTACCACATCCATGGATACAGGGGCTTTACATGTTTGTAGGTCAGTTCCCTGAATCACAGCAGCAGAATCACAGCGATAAAACAGCCCTGTGAGGTGCTTGAGCCTTGATGGCATGCTCAGCCACACTCACAGAGATCTGCATATGATCCTGTCTTTCAGCCTTGGATTCAGCCTTTTCACTCTCCATCAGCACAGACTCACCTAATTTCACTTGAAGTGGAGATGGCTTATAGTTCATGGCTACAGTCTCTCCCTCTCTCGTATCACAATCTCTGTCTGAAATAGCTGCAGCTGCTGGATCCTGTTAAGAAAGAACAGAAACAAAACAGAATGGTTTAGCTGACAGTTCTGCAGTTTCTTCTCTAAGTGGCTATTAGGCGACCACACTGCCTTCACATTCACAGGGAGCAAAGAATATGCCAGTGTTTTGAACACTGGTACCCAGGGGCAAAACACAGAACTTTGGAAGCACATTTATTATGTTAAAAGTACCTCTGGAAATGCCGAATTTCAACATCAGGCTTATATTATGGATGATACTGGGAATATAATGTAGATGGTGGGTCACTAGTTCAAATTCAGCCTGGGCTGGAAGTAGTCCCAAATAATTTTCACATGATGACTCCTTGGGGTGTTTTATAAAATATATTTACAGTTTCCAATGAATTCCAAGTAGACCACTCAATTTCAAACTTAAAACTAAAGTTTGAAACCACGTCTGTCTGGAAGTCCAGCTTGGAAGGACTGCAGACTACACAGGTAGGAGAATTCAGTTTCTGCTCCCTCTTGGGACCTATTTCAGGACCTATTTCCTATGACAAGAAACATCTGTCAGCACCATCCCTTTCACTGTCACTAAAATTTCCTCCCTGAAAAACCAATCTCCCCAAACACATTCTGCTCCTGCCTACTCGCAGACAACATGTATTGAACTCTATGGTACAGCACATCAAAGAACTTAAGAGAGAAACAAACTACCAACTCAGACAGTTCTACTACTGATAAAAAAAACTGAAGTCCTTACACAACAAACTGCAAACCTGTTGGAACTCCCTCCACTTAGCACCATAGTGAAAATAAAAACTAGTTTTCAAACATGTTCTTACTCCCACCTAGAATATAGAAATTAAATTGAACGTGCACATAGATATACATGTATATAAATTTGGGTGTATATAGGTAGAGCTGCACAGGCAAAGCAAATATTCACCATTAGGTCCAATACATGAATAAACCATCACTTGTGAGAAATGAAACATGGCATCATAAATTAAACACTAGAATACTATTCCAAACTATTGAACGGATATTGTCTCTCTCTCTCAGTTTCTGGAGTTTTTATTTTGTACACAATTTCATGTAAAATGCAACTTTTGATTTGGCACAGGCACAAAGCAGAGTCACTGAGTTTCAAAGCAAGGTAACATCACCCTTGACTCCCAGTAAAAAAAAAAAAAAATCACTTGTTGAGTCACTCAGTGCACATTAGCTCTTTTTAATATACTGTGTTTAGGAGATAGAATGTAATTTTTGAATTAGGCTCTAGCTTGGTGGAAACTGGTTAAATAACATATGTAGGGTTATAACATTTTTATGAAAATCTTGCTCCTTTGCACTACCCCATCGACTTCAACAGTACTTAAAACGGATGGTGCGTACAAGACCTCACATTCAAGGTCAATGCTGAACAAAAGACAATTTCTTCTGTTTTTCTCTTATACAGTCACTGCTGCAGTTTTCCTCTAATGTAGCAGTTTAGTGACTAGGTAAAAAGATAAGAGCAGTTGCAAACCAAAAAACCAGTCTCCAGGAGAACATTTAGGTATAAATCATAGATCAGTTCATGTGGTATCCTTGGAACATGAATCTGGTCTCAAACATGCCAGATGAATGGAAGACATCAGAATCCAAGCTGTAGGAAAGAATCATCAGGGTGTGGTCTCTCACCCTTCAGAGGAAAGGAGCACCCAAGATTTACAGATGCTTGTGGACAAAAGGAATGTCAAAAGTCAGAGGGTCCACAAAAATCTCACACAGTTCTGTTACTAAATTACACATTTGTCATGGAAATTGGTACATTAGTTCTTAGCCTCCTATTAAGCACCCAGCAGTGGGTTTAGGATAAAGGAGGGAGGTGAAAGGGAAGGCAGAAAAAGATGAATTAAAGAG